CTATGGAAGTCAATGGGGACCATCAACTGTTTGATTACCAGCATTCTTCAAAATATCTTCTTTCATGTTCAACATAAGAAAGAAGCTCACACAGGTTTGGAACGACATTAGGCTGAGTAAACGATGACATTTTTGGGTAAACTATCCCTTTAAGACACATCCGCTTTGCCATCTATAACCCATCCAGGGGTGCATTTCCAAAAAGCACAAACGCACCCCAGATCATGACTTCTCAAACCACCAAGTTTGCTTTTATTACCCCGCCCGTGTCATCCATGAACAACAAAATAAATGTTACTATAAGCTGCCACACTTTGGGACTTCTCCATCAACATTTAATTTGCTCCTTTTTTTGTCTGTTGCTTTTTTTTTTAAAGAAAACAAAAACAAAACAAAAAGTTAATTCTACAAACTAGCAGATAAGGTTCTTTTCATCTCATGATCTCATGAAAGTTGCTAAATCAAACTGAATTAACTGAAAGAAAAAAAAAGTGACTGGAAGCGGTGCATACGACTTCAAAGTCTTGGATGAGGCTATCATCATATCATATCCCCGCTGTGGGAGAGGGAGGAGAGAGAGAGGGGAGGAAAATTATAGCTAGTCAGGCATCACTTGATCTCCTCCTTTCCTCAACAGGTCTCACAACACACAGAAGTCGACAAGATAAGGGTTCGGGGATGTAAACTAGGATACCGCAATTCCTGCTGCAGCGGTCAGTGTGTGTCCACGGACCTCACTGTTTATGTCGTTCATCCATCGGTCTTCCTCCCCCCAGAGCCGACTGTCCTTCCCAGCACGCCGCCGTCCTCCTTGTCTGATAATGGAGGGTTTTGGTGCTGGTATTCCTATTCCTATTCCTAAAACCGTTGTGTCCTTATAACTGACTAACAACGAATCCTCCAATTTACAAGTCAGATTTGCGTCGATATGGAGTCGGAGGTCGACAGAAGCAGTCTCGATAATCCATGCTCAGGATTCACCTCAGGGAACACCAAGCGACACATAAATCTGGGACTGCACTACATTAAAACAGTCAGAAATTGAATGAAAGTAAGACGATCTCTATCTACACTATGGTTGTCTACAGGCAGGATCCAAGCAGTACTGCGCTAGTAGTCGTAATGAACTTTGTGAGCATGTGTCCGTTTCTTCTGGCGAGTGCGAACGTCTCGGTGAGTCGAGATGGCCGTCAGAAGCCCATTCTGAGAGAATCGAGATGCGATAGCCAGTCGATTTCACTGGAAACGTAAAAAAGCTGAAGGTGAAGTGTAGGTTCAACGGAGCCGGAGCTGTTAGGAACAGAGGCAAGATCCTGCAATAGATCTCGAATTCATATCAGTAGTCATAGGGCCACGGGACGGATATGTAAGAATAAAACACCAGTGAGAGAAACATAGTTTAGAATATATATATATATATACATACGTATACATGTATATCTATATATAGCGAGAGCGAGAGAGAGAGGCTATAAAGTGATGGTCAGAGACTGGTGCATTGGTTTTGGTATTCTGAATTTGGCTGCGGTCAGTTTGGTTGGGTTGGGTTGGGTTGGGGGGGGGTAAATGGACATGCAGAGACCGTCCCTTGGCCTTAGCTCCCGTAGTGCATGGTGTTGCTGGGGATGGCCATAGGAGATGCCATGGAGATAGCCGGGCCACCCATGGTGAACTGGTTGGTGACAGGGTAATACGGACTGCTGCTGCTAGGACCCTGCTGGGCAGTTGTGGCCCCTGAGAGGAGAGAAAAAGCAACATTACATCCTTTGTATTTATGAGCGTGTGGTTTCTAAGATGTTCAAAGTATGCTTCGGTTTTTATGTGTAAGCTGTGTTACTCGTGTAGTGTGTGTGACAAATTTTTGGTACTAGTTTATTTTCAAAGTGGAAACTTCCTAGTGTGCATGTGTTGAGTGCCTGTGTTTACATACAATCAAAGGGAGTATATTTTGAAAGGCCGTATGTGTATGTTAAGTGTTCGTGTGACCACTAAAGTATACAATCACCATTGGGGGATGTTCAAAACTACTGTTTATTAAGTAGTCAACAAATCAGTACAGTAGTCAAAGAATATGTATAATTATACTAGTTTCAGGTTCATTTCAACCTGATCAGCTTTACGTGAGATGCTTTAAAAACGAACTGGAGAGACTAGAAGAGAACGAAAGTTTTTTTTTTACGTGACACGCCATCTAGAAAATACAACACTCATGGTTTGAGACTAAGTACAATGAGACTATTCACACATTAGCGGCTAAAGATATCAATCTGCAGGCACTCAGCACACTGTAAAGGCTTATTCATATCACAGCAAGCACAAATGTTCAGTGCAATATTAAATAATGGACACCTTCACACTTAAAATGCTCTTTTACTGATATATTATCAGTTTACTGGGTCTACTCAGTATGGACAGAGAAAAAAAAAAAGAAGGGAAATTCTGTCATCATTTTCACCAGTTATTCTAAAACCCATAGATCTCGCTCATCTTCAGAACACAACTGAAGATTTTTTTTAATATTCTCTCATCATCACCATTATCACAGAAACTCAAGTCAGACTTGCTTGACACATGAGAACCAAATAGGTTTGTTCTTGCACATCAAGCAAGCACAATTTGAGCTTAATGTGTGCCGATTAGTATTTATACATGAATAAAAGCTTTTACAAAAAGTTCATTTATGTCCATGTAATTTTGGTAACACTTCAGTATAGGGATCAATTCTCACTATTAACTAGATGCTTATTAGCATGCCTAATATTAACACATTGGCTGTTTATTAGCATTTGTAAAGCACATATTCTGCATGACCATATTCTATATCCCTAATCCGACCCAATACCTAAACTTGACTACCTTACTAACTATTAATAACAGCAAATTAGGAGTTTATTGATGAAAAAGTCATAGGTTAATAGTTTGCTAATAGCAAGAATTGGACATTAAAATAAAGTGTGACTAATTTTTTATGCATGAAAGTTTTGGAAAGTGTGGAATTTCAATGTCTGGATGAAAATGATGAGAGAATATGAAAAATATCTTCATTTGTGTTCTGAAGATAAACAAAAGTCGTATTTTTCCATTTGATACAACATGAGGGTGAGCAAATAATTACAGAATTAACATTTTTGGGAGAAATATCGATTTATCTGTAGGAGCTCAGGTCTTGTTTTACTCAGTAAGAGCAGAGCCACTCACCCTGGACGATTCCGGTGCTCATTATAGAACCCATTCTGGAGTGAGTGTGATTCACAATCCCCGTGTTCACTGGAGGGGAAAAAAAGACATCTCTTTTCAATTTACACAAGAACAAAATGTGATATACATGAAACACATGAATATTTGACATGAAGCTAAAGGAGAAAGGCTGTGATATAGATAATCAAACTGTAGTACTGTTGTATAGAAAAACCTCTCAATAACAATTATTAATTGTACTATAAAGAGTACTATAATAAGTATGTTTAATGCTTATTATAGGGGGTCATATCATACACACTATTTTTCCCTGAGGCACAATTATAAAGTGATGTTTTTTGCACCAAGTAGTCATTGTTTTGACTATTTGGACTGGTGTTTTCATAACATTAATCTCTTATCTCAAATGGTCAAGTTAAAGATTTGATCCTTCATGATATGGCCTTTAAATATAATACACTTTTTTTTTTTTATTAATCTCAGCCTTTTGTTCTTAAAGTGATAGTTCACCCCCCAAAAAAATCTGTCATTAACTCACTCATGTAATTCAAAATCTGTATGTTTTCTATTCATCAGAACACAAATTTAAATATGAATATTCTCACATCATTTTTGTCCATCCATTGAAGCATCAAGGTTTTGGTGGTGTGGAAGTACACAAACACTGATCATCACATACATAAAGCTAAAATATGGTAAACACTGAAGCTCAAATAAACATGCTTGCTTGACATGTGTAAGCTAATGAGGTTAGAGCTTTTGGATTACTTAATGTCTTTTCATACCTTACTGCTGTGTAAACTTTCAATGGATGAACAAAAAAGATAAATAATTATATATTAAAAAAAATCTTCATTTGTGTTTCAAAGATGAACTAAAGTCTTGTGGATTTGGAAAGACATGAGGGCGAGGAACCATTTTTGGGTGAAAAAAAATCACTTTAAAAACACCACAGAGCTAATTTCACTCCTCATGTGTGTGTATTTGTGAGCGTGTGTGTAAATATCCATACGTGCATGCGTGTCTGTACCAATGGGGATGATATTGTTGTGGGACACTGTAGTCCCACTGCCGCCAATGACAGTGCTGAGATCATAGGCTGCAGGCATCCCTGACAAACACAGACAGAGCCAAACTTTAGTGGCATCACTCCAGTTACGCATTACACTTCAGCTAACTGATATACATCTAACAAGAGGTCAGGAATGATTTTATAAAAGGCTTCCTGGTGCTGTACCTGACACAGCCATGCCTTGGCTCATGCTGTAGGTTCCCCCAGTGTTCCACATGTTCTCTGACGGGGAGGAATAGTGTGAACCTGGAGGAGGGGTCGGTGTTGTGCCCGTGTACCTGCAGAACACAGCGCAGCATCAGCAATGCATGTCGCAGGCATCCACTTATTGCTTTCCAAAGCAATGAGTCCACTCACCGGAAGAAGGGGTTCTTGAGGTCAAGAAGATTACTGGACTTGGAGCCTGTCTGGTCCACTTGAGCAACAATACTAATGTCATAGCTTTGTCTGTGAGAGGAAGTGGAAACAAATGAGACCACGAGAAGTAAAAAGCGAAACAGCCTGAGGGTTAAAACACAAAGCACTGTGCGTCCTCACCTCTTGTTGGCGATTAAATGTGCAGTGCCTGACATGGTGTCCCCTGCCTTGGCAAAGAGAGGTGACTGCAGCAGACAGCGCACCTGGTACCAGTGAGTGAGGGGTTCTGTGGGGGCCGTGGAGAGCCACACCGTCATCCTGTTCAGAGAGACACAGCACAAGAGCACATCTGTCAAAATGTTCAGAATAACAAAACATCTGAATAGCTCCCTCATATCCAAGTATTCAAATAGTTTTAAAATCATGACCATATTCCCATACGTTGAAAAACTTATCGTCAAGAGGAAATGAATATAAATGATCACACAACTACTTAAGTTCATTCAAATGTATTTGGTGGAATGATTCAAATCTGAACTGATGTATGCTTATAGTCCACGTGCCAATTCTTTAATAATTGAATTGAATTGAATGCCTTTGTCATTGTATTTTTCTGTATACAATGAAATTAGGAGCACTACTCCTGACTGGTGTTAGAAAAACAAACATATAACCACAGACAATAAATACTATAAGACTGTACAGTACAATTTTACAAGTAAATACAACAAGTGACTGAGTCCTGATATTCACATTGAGCAATCCGAGTAAAGTGACCATTTATAGTATTGCACGTTGGCCTTCACCTTGATATGCACAGTAAGTTTATACAAAAGTACAATTTAAATGGAATGAGTAACTGTGGTGATTTAGTGACTAGAGATAGTATTGCACATTGACATATAGTGTATATTATTGCACATATATTATTGCACCTTTACTGCAGATAGTGTTCACATTTAGTAACCAGATATGGTATTTCACCCTGACATACTATTTAGTGCATTGTTTGAAGTTCTGATAAATAAATTGTTCAGACAGTGGTATTGCAGATTGACATACTGCATATTGTACAATATTGTATATTGCATGTTGTATAGCAGCAGTATAGACAGAAGAAATTTGAATGAAATAAGTGACTGTAGTTAAAAGAATAACGTGGTTGGAATAGTATTTTGGCATTAGTGCATTTTATGAGTTTAAAGTCCTGATAGCAACTGGGAAGAAACTGTTCTGTAAGCGAGTGGTTTTTGCTCTTAAGGATCTGTACCGCCTGCCTGAGGGCAGAAGATTAAACAGGTGGTGTCCTGGATGGGATGTGTCCTTGATGATGTTTATAATAAGATTCATCAATCAAGTATCACTTAAAAGTATTTTTTTTAAATCTGACAATAAAATACGTATTAAAAAACAAATGATGATAACTTCATTTCAGGGCCTACAAAAGTCTTTTTAAAATCAGACAATATGAAGTTAAAAATAAATCAATCATGGTAACTTGGTTGATTTCAGTGGTCCACAAATTCAGGATTACACATGAACACACTAAACAAACTTTTAAAAGCGAACTGAACCCCTCAAACAAACCGAAAGTCATCTTATAATTTGCATTGTGATAAAAGAAAAATTGACAAAAAATTAAATAAAATACAATATTCAAATAAATCAATTTTAAAAACTATAGACTGAAATGGACCAAAATCAGATCTGAGCATACCTGATTTCTTTCACTTGTTTCAAGTTTTGGTCAATTTAACGTAGTCTGAATTTGGTAATAATAATAATAATAACAACAATAATACATTTTATATTTTTATTTTAAATAATAGCATTAATAATAATAATAATAATAAACAATAATACAATATTCAATCTCCTGACTGGTGTTAGAAAAACAAACATATAACCACAGACAATAAATACTATAAGACTGTACAGTACAATTTTACAAGTAAATACAACAAGTGACTGAGTCCTGATATTCACATTGAGCAATCCGAGTAAAGTGACCATTTATAGTATTGCACGTTGGCCTTCACCTTGATATGCACAGTAAGTTTATACAAAAGTACAATTTAAATGGAATGAGTAACTGTGGTGATTTAGTGACTAGAGATAGTATTGCACATTGACATATAGTGTATATTATTGCACATATATTATTGCACCTTTACTGCAGATAGTGTTCACATTTAGTAACCAGATATGGTATTTCACCCTGACATACTATTTAGTGCATTGTTTGAAGTTCTGATAAATAAATTGTTCAGACAGTGGTATTGCAGATTGACATACTGCATGTTGTACAATATTGTATATTGCATGTTGTATAGCAGCAGTATAGACAGAAGAAATTTGAATGAAATAAGTGACTGTAGTTAAAAGAATAACGTGGTTGGAATAGTATTTTGGCATTAGTGCATTTTATGAGTTTAAAGTCCTGATAGCAACTGGGAAGAAACTGTTCTGTAAGCGAGTGGTTTTTGCTCTTAAGGATCTGTACCGCCTGCCTGAGGGCAGAAGATTAAACAGGTGGTGTCCTGGATGGGATGTGTCCTTGATGATGTTTATAATAAGATTCATCAATCAAGTATCACTTAAAAGTATTTTTTTTAAATCTGACAATAAAATACGTATTAAAAAACAAATGATGATAACTTCATTTCAGGGCCTACAAAAGTCTTTTTAAAATCAGACAATATGAAGTTAAAAATAAATCAATCATGGTAACTTGGTTGATTTCAGTGGTCCACAAATTCAGGATTACACATGAACACACTAAACAAACTTTTAAAAGCGAACTGAACCCCTCAAACAAACCGAAAGTCATCTTATAATTTGCATTGTGATAAAAGAAAAATTGACAAAAAATTAAATAAAATACAATATTCAAATAAATCAATTTTAAAAACTATAGACTGAAATGGACCAAAATCAGATCTGAGCATACCTGATTTCTTTCACTTGTTTCAAGTTTTGGTCAATTTAACGTAGTCTGAATTTGGTAATAATAATAATAATAACAACAATAATACATTTTATATTTTTATTTTAAATAATAGCATTAATAATAATAATAATAATAAACAATAATACAATATTCAATTGGTTCAACATTAAAACAACAACAACAGAGTAAGACAGATCTGATCTGAGCACACCAGTGACAGGGAAAGCACAGAAAACCAGGTTCTTTCAATTACTTAATATTTTAGTCTATTTAAAATGGTCTGAATTTGGTTCTGTGAGAGAGGACTCGAGTGCGAAAACACTTTGAAGAGAATATGTTGGAACTTACACTGATCCAATGAATGCGACATCAAACCAAAAAGCCAGCCCATGTACAAGCCCTGAATGCATCATGTGGAATTTGAAGGGGATTTCTATCCTGCAAAGAGCAAGAAAAGGATATATAAAAATTTGACAAGTCTGACAGACTTCTTTTTGTACTTTTCTCATATACCAAAAGGCTGTTTAAATACAATAAAATGAAGCATTTGGTGGAAACGTACTTGTAAAGATCCTCTTCTTTAGCTTCTAAAAAGTTCACTGTATATTTCACTGATTTGGCCATCAGGATCCTGATATCAAACGTGTCCTGAAAGAAATCACAGAATAAATGAGGTAAAGGTAGGATATCAAAGCTCAGTCCTACATGCAGAAGAGGATGAAGCAATCTGAATAAAGCAAACTGATGTGCTGTGAGGCCTCTTGTCAAGGGCTGAGCCACAGTAAATCAGACTCCGTCCTAGCTCAGAGGGCTCTCCCGCCCCAGCCTGAACTCTGAAGGGTGCTATAACAGCGCCCCCTGGAGCCAGACCACAGCAGGTCACTGTCCCAGCAGTGTAACACCATTACAGTCACAGCAAATGCCTGAACAGCTGACTACTGCTGGACATAAGCCACACACACACACAGACTGTAAACTACAATTATGATGTCTGGAAATCCATGGACTGAAAATCAAGCACACAATCGACAACTTAATAGGCTTCTTGAGTGAACAAATGTAGAAAAAGTAGCTCTGACGGATTTCAAAAACACTGTGGATCCTAAATGAAAATCAACAACCAAAATTACACATGTAGAGAGTTCTTGTGCATATAAAGATGTGCTTCATAAACCTCCCTTGATAGATCTAAATTCATTGCATACCCTCTGACCACACACAAACAGTGAGCTCGGAAACCCGGACCACGAAGTAAAGCCTTTCATCATGGGCACAAAGGTGAGCATACATACTTCACTTGAGTCTCCTATAGGAAACTGCCACTGAATCCATTTTCCTAATCCATGAACCTTGCTGCCTTTCTCCATTTCCCAGAAACATCCTCACCGTTCTCATTTGGGCTCAAGTTCGTAACCCAATCCTGTCCGTATTTACCCCCAGGCCCTCACCGCTCATCTATAACCAGTGAGGAGACAAATCTCCAGTTACCTTCATACTTTACACACTATTTTTCAGTGTACTCTTTCCTCTGAAGGCACAAACACAAGCCCATGTGTTTATTGGTTTTCTGACTTAAAGGGATAGTTTACCCAAAAATGAAAATTAGCCCATTATTTTACTCACCCTCAAGGCATCCTAGGTGTATATGACTTTCTTCTTTCAGATGAATCCAGTCGGAGTTACATTAAAAATTGTCTTTGATCTTCCAAGCTATTTAATGGCAGTCAGCGGGTGTTGCAGTGCATCAGTTCAAAAGAAGTGAAATAAAGAGCATCTATCCATAATAAAAAGTGCCTCACACGACTCCAGGGGGTGAACAAAGGCCTCCTGTAGCGAATCGATGCGTTTTTGTAAGAAAAATATTCATATTCAAAACGTATTATTCACTTTAATGTAGCTTGCACCAACAGTTGTACACTGGAAGCAGCTCCGGGCTGATGACGTATGAGGTCGGCGTTGCGCATGCGCCGGTGAGTCTCGTGAAAACCAACGTTTGTTAACAGGAGCAAACGAAGCAAAGTTTCCTTACTTTAGCAAAGGAAAACCAGTCTCATCTTGGCTTATATCGAAATCCTCCGACATTCTTCTTTACAAATCCTCGTTTTGTACTTCTAATTCTTGACCGTTGTTTTGTTTTGATCTCTCCCCTGCGCTTCTGCGTTCGTCACTTCTGAGCGGCGCATGCGCAAAGCCGACCTCCATACGTCATCCGCCCAGAATTGCTTCCAGTGTACAACAGTGAGCGCAAGCTAGATTAAATTGATTATTACGTTTTGAATATGGATATTTTTCTTACAAAAACGCATCGATTCGCTACAGGAGGCCTTTGTTTACCCCCCCGGAGCCATGTGAGGCACTTTTTATTATGGATAGATGCGCTTTATTTCACTTCTTTTGGACTGATGCACTTGCAACACCCGCTGACTGCCATTAAACAGCTTGGAAGATCAAAGACAATTTTTAATATAACTCCGATTGGATTCGTCTGAAAGAAGAAAGTCATATACACCTAGGATGCCTTGAGGTATTCATGAGCTAATTTTCTTTTTTGGGTGAACGAACCCTTTAAGAACTTTCCAAGCTGTGGCGAACTCTAAAAAGTGAGCATGTACTTATGAATTAACTTGCACACACCCAATCCGCCAGTCATTCCCTCCCATTTCTCACCACAATCGGCTGTCTGAAGTATTCGTCTACTGCAGCTCCTCTCAGCGCAGACAGATCCACCCCATGGAAAGATGGCTGGTACCTGAAAGATTCAGTTTTGTAAGCATAAGCACAAAAGAAATGATCCAGAGTTACAACTTCTGCTACTCTCTTAAATGACTGCCTGCTTGTTTACTCTCACTCGTTCTACATTCTGCATCTTTACTCTCCCCCAACCACCCGATGTCCTTATATCATCTTTTTAATAAACTCACCAGAAATTGGCCTTTGTAAACTGCTCCATATAAAGCTGCTCATCTGTGAAAGGGGCGAGGTGCACGTCTCCGATTGTGGGAAACATTTTGCCTGAGATAACAGAGGTGTGATATGTAAAGAGATATTGATACACTATGTATACATTAGTCTTTTGTTGTTCGGTTGCTTTTACTGAAAAAACCTTTGTACCGTTGGGCTTGAGGAACTTTTTGGCATGCAGGTAGCTCTCCAGCATCCTTTCATTGAACAGCATGTAGCCCATGGGTTCAGAGATGATTATGTCCACCTGCTCAGGTAGGGACACTTCCTCCACTTTCCCAGGAATCACCACCACACGCTCTGACAGCCTGTTACTGTTCACAAGAACCTGTGGACACACAATCATTAGCATTATTACTACTACTACTACTTAGCATGACGTTCAATTAGCCAATGCCAAAAGCCATCATATTACATCTTCTCATCTTATTACGAAATTCTGCATTTGGCACAATACCAGCTTCTTGGCATCAATACTAAATCTATTTGTCAAGCATTCAGGTATTTTTATAGGAGAGGAATAAAAAAAAAAATCCAACAATTATAAATATAAAAGTTTGCTATCACTCGTATAATAGTTTTTTGGTACAAATATCCAACATCACTCAATTACCTGCATATTTATAAAAGATTAAATGTCATTTTACATGTGAAATATACCCTACATACTTGTGAAATAGACACTACCATTCAAAAGTTTGGGGTCAGTGAGATTATTTTGGAAATAAATTAATAGCAAGGATGCAGTGAATTTAATTAAAAGTCACTGTAAAGACGGCATGTTACAAAATGTTACGTTTTTATTCAAAGAATCCTAAAAAAGGAAAAAAAAACTTTTTCCACAAAATATAAGGCAGCACAACTGTTTACAACATTGATAGTAAGAAAAGCTACAAATGAGCATGTTAGAATGATTTCTGAAGGATCATGTGACACTGAAGACTGGAGTAACGATGCTGAAAATTCAGCTTTACGTCACAGGAATAAATTTCATTTTAGTATATATTCAAATGGAAAACAGTTATTTTAAATTGTAATATTTAACAACTTTACTGTTTGATTGATCAAATAAATGCAGCCTTGGTGAGCATAAGAGACTTCTTTTAAAATCATTTAAAAAAATCTTAGTGACCCAAAACTTTGAACAGTAGTGCATGTTAGTGATTGAGAAATCTGTCATACCTCTGCATGTTGAGCCATGGTACTGGCCTCCACAGCATAAACTTTACGAGCACCAGCCTGAGCAGCGAAAAATGACAGAATCCCAGAGCCACAGCCTACATCCAGCACCACCTGAAACAGACAGGACAGACAGGGAAGGATGAGAACAAGAATCACATGATATGACACAACCAGGTCCAAAATGCAGGTTTAATTTAATAGCAGTTCATTCAGAGAAGCATTCACAAGGAATAACCTTTTTACAGGAAGTGGACTCAAATGCCCGTTTTTCCCTTAGTTATAAAAAGTCAACTGTTTCAGTTTGAGATATTTTGGTCTGGACAACATCAAAGCTAAAAGTCAAGGTCATAATAGCCAAAATGCATGACTAATGAGTTTGTTTTTATTTTAATGGAGAACAAGAAATGCTACAATAAGCACAGAGAAAGCAATTCTGAAACTACTCTACTTCATGCCATCTACAAATACACAACCTTCAATCTATACAGTAACAGATGTATCAACAAGAGAAATAACAGTACTTTATCCTTGAAGTCAGTATGATTCTGGAGGATAGCCCGTTGATATGTTCCAGTTCGCACATAATCCTGCATCATGTTTTGTTGCTGAGAGAGGTAGCCATAAAACTGAAGAAAAAAAAAGAAAAAGAGGGCATTCATATTATGCCACTTCTGTTGATGCTACAAGACAAATTTCTCCATTAGAAATAAAGGGTACTCTGGATACCTTTAAAACATTTAAAATATCTCTTAAAGGGGTGGTTCATTGCGATTTCACTTTTTTAATGTTAGTTAGTGTGTAATGTTGATGTTTGAGCATAAACAATATCTGCAAAGTTACGAAGCTGAAAGTTCAATGCAAACGGAGATATCGTCTTTTAAAATTCTGGCAGTTTAATGTCTACAACAACGGCTGGTAGGGACTACAACAAGTTACTTCCCGGGTTCGTGACGTAACAAACCCAGATAAACCCCGCCCTCGGGAAAAGGCAGCAAAGGGGGCGAGGCCATGCTGCACTGCTTTAGAGAAGAGGAAGAGAAAACTAGAGGTGCACGTAAAAATCTGTTCATATATGAATCGCGATTCTGTCTTCTAACGATTCTAATGGATTCACAAGTTTCAAAATCAATGTTCTAAAACAGCGGTTCTTAATACGGTTCCTCACGTCCGCTGCTCTGCATCTCTCTCTCTCTCATTCAGAAATTATGTGAAAAATAATGCGTTTTTTTTTTTTTTTTAAATGAAGCATTATCACATGTTAGACTGCACCCCATAAACACAATCAAGCCTAGAAAAAACCCAGTGAACCACCCATTTAAGGTTGCAAGACAAGAATAAAACTGGTTTGTCAAATGTCAATGTGTTTTAAGCATGTTAATTAGAAGCCAAACACACCTGGAAATACTGTACAGCTGAGGACTCCTCCGTCCTGTCACTGAAGACTGAGTGTTCACCCCCATGTCCACGGCAATTCTTCAGGAGGTTATAGAATGACGAGAAATCTGGCAAACACAGCACCAGTGAATACATTAAGAGATTTCAAGCTTCAGGACCATCTCTTCATTCAGGTTTGCCCACAGTCATTTGAATGAAAAGTTTGTACTCAATGAGTGACTGCAGCCGTGCTTATCTGAATGTTTGTCTGTTGATAGTTAAACAGCATGCCAGCTACCATGGCTATAATAATGGTGAGAAAAGGGAAAAAAAAGAGATTTATCTTTGATTAAAATTCTAACACTAAAACTTGTTTCACTTCATTTTCATTAGAGGCAACTGAAAAGTGAAAGAGTGAAACTGAAAAGAGTCCTAATGGACATCACAGTCCATCAAAATATGCTTAGCTTGTCTGAATGTCTCTCAGCGAACTGCTAAATTACCGTAATGCCTGATGTGCCTGTAAAAGAAGGTGAGTTTTACCTGCTGGAGATGCAAACTGCAAGAGGACACTGTTACAGCCCAGAGTAATGATGAAGGACTGCTTCCCAACACGACTGCATTCTGTCTCTCGTGATACTGAACACTTAAAGACACACGTCTCCTCATCTGTGGAGGAAAGCAAATGCATGGATGTTAATAAGCCTCACCCTAAAACAGATCAATGTTTTTTGGTTTTTTTTTGTATTATCCCATTGTTTACAATTTTCATTGAAGAAAAACTGAATAAATTTCTTTCTTTTGAAGAATGTTTCAACAGTTTCTGTCCATACAGTGGAAGTCAATGGGGTCCAAAGCAACACTGGACCCTGTTGACGTTCTTTATATTTACAAAATAAGACTTACCTCATAAACATTTGTGCACCATAGAAAAAAAAAGTCATACTTTATATTTACCAATTTAAAGCTGTATTTCAGCTTTACACTACGTCCTTAAAGGTTACTACTACCTAAACATAAATCAAGCAAATCAAACTAAGCTAGACCTGTTCATAAACAATAAGTTGGCCTTCTAACCACTGCAACAGTAAATGGTGAAGCCAGGATGAGGGATTTTGTCATCTATTTGCCCAGCTGTTGAAAGATTAAGTCAAGCTTTCCACAGACAGATTAGGCTGGTATTCATTTATATAATTGAGCAGAAAACAAGTACAGTTTCTACAGCAGCTCAAGAAAGTACCTCTTAAACAGAGGGCAAGGGAATAAGGCTTTAGAATAAGGTTTTAGAGTGATGCTTGGCATCTACTGTTCATAACTGAAGGCTTTGCTCTCCTAAAACATCCTAAAAGACAGGTAAACTAAGTATGTTTTTACTGGCTAACATACAGTTTTCATTTGGTACAATGAATTTCACACATGCTGATACATGTTTTGTTGACTTTTTGTTGTTTGTGCGTTGTAAAGCACATTGAACATTAGCTTAAAGCACTACAGGCAGTAAAGACAGTTATTACTATTAATATTATTGCTATCATTAGCAACCTTGTCAACTGCACAGCAAGGTCACCCATGTGACGTCAACACCGCAGGACGCACAAAAACACGTAAAAATGAAAGACGGGCACTAATTCTTAATCCAACACAAGTGTAAATCATTGTAAAAAAATTTTTAACTTTTAGCACCTTTACTAGATCTTAATGTTTGCGCAACAATAAATATGTAAGAACACTCTCTCGTGCGTAAGTTCATCAAAACGCGCAAACTATCACTCTGACACACGTGCGTGAATTTCAATGAATAAACTTGGGCTTTCGACTAAATAATAAAATAACAAATGATGTGGCATTTGCGGCTCGAGCAATAAAAACTTCTCAAATGCGATGTGGGTCGCGCATCTGTTTCAGAAAGACATTCATCTCATGCAAGGGACATCGGCAGCATGAGGCTCCAAACAAAAGCCCTGAGTGCTGAATGAACAGGCGGGACACTGGAGAAAAGAAAGGATCGAGGCGGGGGACCCGCTACTGTTCCCCGCAGAACAAAGATGAATGCCCAAGCGGTGCTGCCACAAGAAACCTCTCCGTAATTTCACATTACTTTAGCAATGCTTTCTGCACTTTGAGAAAAATAAACCGGTAACATTATAGTACAGTATAGTAAAAGTAGAGAGGTGGCGCAGAACTGCGCAATCAATCAAGTAAACTCAACATCCATTCAGCCCATCAACCAACCAGGTTAAAACGATTTCAACAGACAAATCAAGTGTTTACGCAGATAAGACCCAGCGCAAAACAAAAACAAACACGTTTCTATAACACTTTCTGAAGCACAATCGTGAAGGTTCAGACTGCGGCTAACTTTATAGGCGCCAATGCACATTATATCCGAAGCCCTTCCTTGCTGTCCTGCTACAAGTCTGGATGAAAACCTTAAAAGAAACCTCACGCATGTAACGTTACATTTCTATCTGTAGAAGCACATTCAGTGCTGGACAGCCGTGCGTTTTAGCTGGATCGTAACGTTAGCTAACTATAAACAGCTTAACACAATACGAAAGTGTTTACGGATGCTAACATGCTACGATCAACGTGGTTTGTGCTGGCATGCGTGTTGAAACAAAACCCCTGGCTCCGGCAATTTGACATATTTTAGAAAGCATGCAGGGGTGACTGGGCCGCATTTGGGATCATAACTCAAAAGCCGCCGGTGTCCCGGTGACCAGGCGGCGCGACGCACGCACATGCCGCACGCACAGACCTCTCACTAGGCTAAGCTAGGATACACCGCTCAACTGAGGCCGGATGCAAAGTGTTTAAAAGCCAGCATCTACTCACTGTTCGAGAGGCTTATGAGAGCCACGTCCTGGTTGATTTTGATTTCTAGCCGCAGAGGCTGCTGCTCTGAATGTCGCTGTATGTCTCCGTTGGCGTCTCCGATGGAGAGGAGGCGCACGCCTGGGAACACCGACACCGCCATCTTCGATCTGGGCAGAGACAGACAGCAGCTCAGCGCCTCAGATCTCGCCTGGAGTCACTGGTCAAGCTAGGCCTGACTTACTACTGCCTCCACGTGGCCACATCTCGCTTTTTCCCCAGCTGTAGTTCAATTTCAAGACATGATATGGGCTGCAAAGAAAAGGCATGGTGTATCTTGAGTACACTAATAAAATTCATTAAATGTGTGGGTTGGAAAACTTATTGTAGGCTACAGGAGGCAATGTGAAGAAGAAGAGACAACACAAGTGAACAGGGTAAAAATTCAAGTCAAGTCAAGTCAAATTGAGCTTTATTGTCATTCTGCTGCATGTGGGGACATACAGGGGAACGAAATGTCGTGCCTCACAGGGCCACGGTGTTACATAAATACAGGCATACAACAATGAAGTAAAACAGTAAAAACCTATACAGTAAAGCAGTAAAAACCTATACACAACTAACCTACTGACTGATTTTGATTATAAATATACTATATATATATATAAATGTTTACCTATACATAAGTTAAAAAAATACAGACTATACGGATGCTTCACATAAACACTGTACCTATACACAGCTAACCTACTGACAGATTTTGACTATGAATATACTATATATAAATGTTTACCTATGCATAAATTAAAAAAATAATAATAATAAAATAAATTAATTAAAAATACATAAATAAATAAATAAATAAAATAAAATACAGATTTCAGTGTACTCCTGCAGGTCTGTGTGGTTGTTGTAGGTGGCTGCCTCTTTAAACATGTTCCAGTCTGTGCACTGAAAGCAGTCCTGTAGAGTTAACTTTGTCTTATAGAAGTCACCGATACATACCAATATGTGACCCTGGACCACAAAACCAGTCATAAGGGTTAATTTTTTGAAATCGAGATTGATACACAATCTGAAAGATGAATAATAAGCTTTCCATTGATGTATGGTTTGTTAGGATAGGACAATATTTGGGCGAGATACAACTATTTGAAAATCTGGAATCTGAGGGTGCAAAAAAAATCTAAATATTGAGAAAATCACCTTTAAAGTTGTTCAAATTAAGTCATTAGCAATGCATATTACTAATCAAAAATTAAGTTTTGATATATTTACAGTAGGAAATTTACAAAATATCTTCATGGAACATGATCTTTACTTAATATCCTAATGATTTTTGGCATAAAAGAAAAATCAATAATTTTGACCCATACAATGTATCTTTGGCTATTGCTACAAATATACCTGTGCTACTTAAGATTGGTTTTGTGCTCTAGGGTCATATATGATTGTCACAGTACAATAACACAATTGTTTTGTATTGGAAGATTTCTGAAATGTTGTTTAAATATGCAGATAAGGCATTATCTAATTGAATGTATGCTAATTTACATACATTTCCAGAACAGAAATCTGAATATTGAATAAAGCCAGGTTCAAAATTCTTGTTTCATTTTGTTGACATATTAAAAGGTAAACGTTTTTACAGAGGGCATTTTGGATACCTTTTTTATAACTCCATAAATCAGAAAATACATTCAACACCCAGGGGGAAAAAGGAACAAAATGTTATTTAAATCAGGTGAATTATATAGAAATAAATACCTTAATACAGATAGGAATAAAACTTGTTTGGAACAAAAAGTTTGGTGTATGTTGGTGCTACCGGAGATAAACTATTATAGTTTTTATTACTAGCTTTGTATGTTTGATTATATGTATGTGCATGTTTTCATTTTAATCCTAGTATTTGTACTGGAATTTTTACTTGAATAGCTCAGGTTTTCCTTTCTGTTTTTAGTCAGTAATTTCAGTGCTTCAACTCAAACTTTGTTATTTTCCAAGCCAACAAATTTTTGTTTAGTTTAGTTTTTTACCTAATACTACAAAACAACAAAAATGTTTTGATAGTTTTAGCATTAGCTAACAATAATAACTCTGTTACAAACATACACCATAGTAGTTTCCATCATAATTGTTGCTTTTATTGCTCTTATTGTTAAAATCACACAAAAAAATTTAAATTGGGATCTTGTTCAAAAAGTGTAAGAGGCTTTTCAGGCTCAGTCATTTTAATTTATTTATCAATGACATCTTATTTACCAACAACATCTTGATTCAGTTTTGTAAGGAAAAGTATATAGGCTAGGTATCTTGCTGCAAATAAACCAGATGTTGCTCTTGTAGGCACAATCAAACTTAAAACGCAAGACATACATGAGGTAAACAGACTGAAAAAGTTATCAATGCAGGACAGCAGTAAAAATGACATTTGCATGAATGTCCAGTGGTTGACTGATAAAGATACAGTACAGATATAAGATGAGATTAGTAAGCATGTGAGGGCTGAGAGTACATGCAAAAACAGGCCAGCTGATACGCTCAGTCATTTGGTGTTCAAATTCTTAGTGTAAAAGCATAACAGGCAGGCAGCACCCTTTCACCAGCAAATATCACTAAAAACACAGATATAATTCTGCACTCGTGTCTTGTGTTAACACTATAACATTTAAGAAATGTAAAGAAACCTTTACCCACTAGATTAGAGAAAATACATTTGAATAAAAGGTAGTACCTCACTCAGTATTCAGAAAAGTGAATTTATATCAGAAACACACAGCATCGATCTTAATCAAAAAGAACCTGAGATTCAAGACATCTCTCTCCTTCAATAGAGCTATGTGGTTAATACAATTAAATTAGCTTAAATACATGAGTTTCGTGGCAACAACAGTCCATGTATATAAGCCTAATTGTATCAATAAAGAAATTCAGTGTTTCATCCTAAACTAAACACATTACAACAAGAAAGCGTTTTGAAATTTTTCTGTGTAAGGCTGGTATTCAAATGGACTTGACTACACAGTAAAAAAAAAATGCATCAATTATTTTTGCATATTTGTCATCACTTTTGCAGTGGACTGTTTGACCAACTAAACACTTTAATTTCCTCCTACTAGTGTAACTTTTGCACTACCATGTCCTTATTTAACAGTATACAAATTAAACACTTTTAAATCACTTCTCAGAGGTTTTCCTCAAAACTCACATAACCGAACGTGAAAGACTTCAAGTCCCAATGCAGCTTACAAAATTAAACAATTTAGTGTAATAGTAATGATGATAACCAGCTCTGCTGTAATGTAAAGGGGATCTGAGGGTCGTGTAGTGAAAACATTCGAGTGAAAGAGGAATGTTCAGAAGTTTCTCCACATTCTTCACGACTCCTTTAGGGGAAGAGAGAGAGGATAGAGGTTCATGTTTCTGTTTCTGTTCCCCTTCAACAGGACATTTCAAAGAAAAAAGTAACACTGAGCTGATTGTTGGTACCTCAGAAGAGCGCACATGATTTGGGTGGTCGAAAGGGGTTGTCGCTTGATGGCACCCCCATGAGGAGAGGGTCCTTGTGGGCATTTTGCAAGCAGAATGCCTTCAGCTCAGCCGCAGCTTGAGAAACCTAGAGAAGGACAGATTGAATAAAATACAGAGAGACAGATAAACAGACAAACACATAAGTAGACATGTGAAGAGGTATTAAGATGCAAAAGCCTTTTAGTGCCATAATTTTTCTCAGGCTTCTATGTTTATGTTCAGTTATTTCACTTTAATGGCAATGAAAAGAACCTATTCATTGCCATTAAAGTGAAATTACTAAACATAAACATAGGAGCCTGAGGAAAAAAATGCAAATTTGAGAAGAAAACTTTAATTTTATCTGAACACTTCATGTATATGCATGAATATACAGATAAAATGGGTTTGTGGAGCAATAATGACTCTATTGGTTATCACATAGTCCTAGCAATCACGCGGTCAGAAGTTACAGAGTTTATGTGATTCATGATAAACTCAGTAACAACACACAAAGCCTTGAGTTGTTTTTAAAATAGCGTGTTTGGGGCCAGTGGGAACTAATATAGATTTGGATTTTCCCGGCCAACAAATGTGGCACTGTGTCACTCACTCACTCACTCACAAACAACAAAGAGCTGCACTGTGCGCTACTGCCTGCAGAGTTTACCTTCAAATGCGGCTTCAAACACGAAAAGTTGGGAGGCTTTTATGTCGAACTGCGCGTATCATACACCTCACAAATGTACTGAAATATTGGATGACAGCGTGTGTTAGGCGTTCTATTAAACGCAAGCTGTCACCTGCTGAAAACGAAGCTAATTGCAACCTGCCATAATATAAGACAGGCCCCGGTAAAAGCTGGCAAACAGATAACATTATTTATTACGCTTCAGCTGCATTAGGTGTGTTGTAAGAGCTCTCACATGAATCAAGAAATGTTAAAAACAGTACAATAATTACACAAAGTAGCAGGATGTTCGGACAGGATCAACAAGTTTGTCAAGTCACACCCTGTTAGCAAAGATTTCCAATCTTTTTGGCTTTTATTTTCTTATGCTCACCTTAATTCTGCGGATTCCTGCTTCAAATCGCAGCTGCTTGACGCTCTTCTGCAGACTCACCAAACCGCCGGCGCTGTTACTCGACATGACTCCTGACAGATCGAGAAAGTTTGTAACAGTAGTGTCGAGACGAGACTGACTTTGGCAGTAACTGGCTCAAATGCGCCCCTGTAGTCGAAACCGACCATTGGTTTCACACTGCGACGGCGCAGGACTGTTTCTTCACCTGTGAATGAATGGGATTTAAAAGGAAGCAATATTGCTTTATAATGAGCTTATCATATTTTCTAGAACCCTCAGAGTAAACCTCTCTACATTTTACATTTTCATTCGGACATAATTAGTATGTTTATTACGCCATTTTCCTTGTTGGGTAACTTTACGCTGGCTGTTCCACACAATGTTGGCAATTTCAGGATTCACTAACAAATGAATGAACACGTGTGTGTTGTGGTGGATTAGGTGGGTGAGATGATGCATTATTATTGCTTGTAACTATATTCATGCTAATAAGACACAATTACAGTATTTTCCATTACATTACTTGCACAAAAGGTTCTAGCTGAGCCTGCGGTGAGTGGCGCCATCTAGCGTTGTTTTATTATATGACAGTGGATGTGCTTCACCAGAGCCCCTCCGCAAGTGGAGACTCCAAAGCCAACTAAACGCGTCGAGATCCTTTCTGTTCTGCTTTGTGTTTGAGTGAAAGACAGTGGAATAGATGTGTCAGTTTATTTATTTTACCGAGCCGTCAGAATGAAAATCTATTTCACCAGAGAGACAAACTAGATTAAATAATAACATACACAACATGATATACCAAAAAAAACAAACAAACAAAAAAACTGCATTAACTATGGAAGTATCAAGGTCTTTTTTTTGTTTAAAATGATTAAAGCAATTTTCCTGTCTTTTTAAGATGACTAAACTTTAAACAATATTAACAATATTACCATACTTGAATGACACTATTCAAATTGTGAATTGTCTCAAGCTTATTAAATCAGAATAGTTTACCAAAGGTACACTACAGTTCAAAACTTTGGAGTCTGTGTGAATTAAAAAAAAAAAAAAAGAAATATGTGCATTCAGCACGGATTAACATAACGGGCAGTAAAGACGTTCACATTGTTTCAAAATATGTCTATTTCAACTAAATGCTGTTCTGTTGAGCTTTCTATTCATCAAAGAATCATGGAAAAAGTATCATAATTTCTACAATAATATAAAACAGTGTTTTCAAAATTTATCTTTTTTTTTTTGCTTACAATTTTGCGACATGTGTGATTCATTTTACGACACTCGTATTGGATCAGCAAATGTCACAGTTACACTTTCTCGACTTCGCCATCTCTTTCTTCATTAGAGAGTCTCTGGCTTCACTATCAAGCGGAATATCACATCCGGGTCAATAGGGGTCGCGTGAGGGTTGCTCAACAGAAGCATGTTGTTACGTGTAAGTATTAAAATACCTTTTGTAAATTAAATATTCATTCCGAAATATATATTTATATGTGTCAGTAATGTAGCAGCAATGGCATTTATGATAAACACGCTATTCTTTTGCTAGCAGGAGTGCTTTATGTTAAATTAATCTAAGTTAATTTAGCAAATGTTATCTAAGTTTTGCTCGTTTTCAACTGACACGCAAAGTAATGTCATCAGGCTGATTTGTTCTCTGTTGAGTGCTGTTATGTTAAGTTCGCCACTAAAACGACCTTGAATACATAATGCTGACTGTCTTTTTGACCACTGATCATCATCATAACTGTTGTTGTTATAGAGAGTCTTACAATGTGGTGTTCCTGCACTCAAAGTCAGTCGGTCCATTCATCAGAGTGCGCCATGGAGAAGTCCACTCATACCAATAGTTGTGGAGCAGACGGTAAGAGCACATCAGTAGCACTCTTCTTCATTCCTGATCATCTGTTATCAAGAAGTCACTTTTAGAGCCTGTAATGGTAACTTCAATAGTTTACCTGTTAAAGATGCAGCTATTTAGTGTTGCAGGAACTTGACAGCTATTTTCTGGTTCAGGGCCGAGGAGAGCGAGCATATGACATCTACTCAAGGCTGCTTCGAGAGAGAATCATTTGTGTTATGGGTCCAGTAAGTTAAAATGCAAGGAAGGACACAAAATGATCTAAAATGATTTTCAGGAAGCCCTTTTGAGTTGTTTCCTATCTGTTTTTCTGTCCTTCTCTTCATCTAGATCGATGACTCTGTAGCTTCTCTGGTTATCGCTCAGCTGCTCTTTCTCCAGTCTGAGAGCAACAACAAGCCTATTCACATGTACATCAACAGTCCTGGTGAGAAACACAACTGCATCAACAGAAAAAAAAAAAAGATTGTAGCAGCTTTGTATTGTGTTCATTCATTACGTTCATTCATCTGGCAGTTCATGGTCTAAAGTCATACAAGACTGACTCAAGCATTTTTGTTTAAAGGTGAAGACCCTACTCAATGTATGTTTTGCAAGGTTCCCCTTTCTGTTAAACATATGTGACCCTGGAGCACAAAACCAGTCATAAGTAGCACAGGTATATTTGTAGCAATAGCCAACAATACATTGTATGGGTCAAAATGATAGATTTTTCTTTTATGCCAAAAATCATTAGGATATTAAGTAAAGATCATGTTCCATGAAGATATTTTGTAAATTTCCTACTGTAAATATATCAAAACTTAATTTTGGATTAGTAATAATATGCATTGCTAAGAACTTCATTTGGACAACTTTAAAGGCGATTTTCTCAATATTTTGATTTTTTTGCACCCTCAGATTCCAGATTTTCAAATAGTTATATCTCAACCAAATATTATCCTATCCTAACAAACCATACACCAAATGGAAAGCTTATTTATTCAGCTTTCAGATAATGTATACATATCAGTTTCAGAAAATTGACACTTAAGACTGGTTTTGTGGTCTAAGGTCACATATTTTATTGGACTGTCCAGCTTTTAATGCACAGAGAAAACTCTTTTATGAAGTGAACTCACTTAAAGAGTTTAGTACAAATTTTTATCACGTTAATGTAAAAAATCTTGTGTGATGTAACTTTTGTTTGTTTGCTGGTTTTTATTGTATTTGTTATACTTGTATTTTTTTAAATTATTTTTGCCATGAAAGTAGCTTTTGATGCTGACATGGCATTAAATAAATATATACTACTACTACTCATGGTCTAAATCTATCCAGTTTGAAATTTTCTGTTGCTGATATGCTTGATACGTGTAAGGGAATCCATTAGATTACTTTGCATGCTGGCCATATAAACTTACAAATATCTTCAAATTTCATATTTTTGTTCAATTTGGGCTTCTAAATGAAGTTGTAGTGTCTTTCCTCCTCAAGTATGAGCTCCAAATTACATTATATCATATTATATGAACCAGAAAGGCCTGTTGTTTTAAATATGATACTCACCAAAAAAACCCAAAATTAACATATCCAAACTTTTTTTGGATTTTGCCTACAGGTTTAATAAACTCCTTTTTCAGAAAATGATATTTTACTGATTTGTGAAAGAAGTCAGGCTTTACAGGCTTAAACAGCTTTGGCATATAGGATAACTAGTATAAAAAAGGCAAAAGAGTTTGATATTCCAGACAGAAATGTTTTGAAGCCAGCAATCCTCATTTTTTTCTTGGTCTCTCTTTCTTGCAGGTGGTGTGGTTACATCTGGACTTGCGATCTATGACACTATGCAGTACATCCTAAATCCCATCTCAACCTGGTGTGTGGGTCAGGCCGCCAGTATGGGCAGTCTGCTTCTGGCCGCAGGAACCGCAGGCATGAGGCATTCCCTGCCCAATGCCCGGATCATGATGCACCAGCCCTCCGGAGGAGCAAGGGTAAGAATGGGGGACAAAAGAAGACAAATATAGGGAACTGCTTTTACAACTTTAACGCCAATATTTGTAATTTCAGGGGCAAGCAACAGATATTGCCATACAGGCTGAGGAGATTCTCAAACTCAAAAGACAGATCAACAACATCTATTGCAAACACACAGGGCAGCCTTTGGAGACTATAGGTAATTTTTCTGTTACAAATCTTTCATTAATATTATAATACATTTGTTTTTAAATATCGGGTAATTATCTTCGTATTGTGGCTTCCGGACATCATCAAGTTTCTGTGTTGTTGTCCTTGCTTAGAGGGCGTGATGGAGAGAGACCGGTACATGAGCCCGATGGAAGCACAGGATTTCGGGATCATCGACAAAGTCCTGGTTCATCCACCACAGGCTGGGCAGGATGAGCCAGAACTTATTCAAAAAGAGCCCACCAGCCCTGCAAGCGCCTCCACCTCCCCTCAACCTCAAGCCTCTGAGCCGGGCCAGTCTGGCAGCAGCCCTCCCTCCTCATACAAGCCTGAGCCCTGAAAGAGACACTCCCAGCAGGAGCAAGTGAACTACTGCATCACTGGTTCAGTGTCTGTTTTGGCAGATGCTTGAGGGGACAGTCACCAGCTCACACGTCATAATCTGAACCTTGTGACCTTTCTTTTGTACCTTTTATTGAGTATCACTAAGCCTAGTCCTGAGACAGTACTGGAATCTGAACTTAACAGATGCAAGTGTAAAGATACTCAGTCTAGCCCTTATATTTGTATGAAGTACAAATAAAGGTATCTTTAGCAAGAATTTGGTTCATTCTAAACAATCTAGATGGGAACACATGCTTACAGCACAGGGTTTCAAGTCTATATTATTTGGATGTGTGTTGCCATGTCACACAATATACTTTGAGTTGTAAATGTGCCCCTCATTTAATATAATCCATGTCAAAATGATTTAGAGCAAGAGATTTTATAGATGAATATTCAAATAAATCATTGGTTAAATATGGATGGTTTTCCTGTCTTTTGAAATCTGAATATTTTACCAAAGGTACACCCCAGTTCAAAACTTTTGGGTCTGTATGAATTTTTAAATAGGAAATATGTACATTTATACAGCAAGTATGCATTAAATTGATCAGAAGTGTCAGTAAAGACTTTTACATTGTTTCAAAATATGTCTGTTTCGAATAAATGCTGTTCTTTTGAGCTTTCTATTCATCAAAGAATCATGAAAAAATGTATCATGATTTCTACAATAATATAAAACAGCACAGCTGTTTTAACATTGATAATATTAAGAAATGTTTCTTGAGCAGCAAATCAGCTGGAGTAATGGAATAAATTATATTTTAAAATGTAAAACAAAAAGCAAAAAATTAAATAGAAAAAGCTAAATTGCAAAATCTTACTGTTTTACTGAGAGCATAGGATACTTCTTTAAAACATCTTACAAACCTCAAAGTATTTAACAGTACTGTATGTCAAAATAATTTCTGTAACATCATGATGTATGTGGTGTTATTTTCTAATGACGTCATGGTTGGTATGTAAACCAAATTCTCAGAAAATAAAAAACACACCAAATTGCATGTTTTTCAGCTGTTTCTTAAAACAAAAAAATGAACAAATGCAATTACAATATAAATAAATCCCCATTATGCTTTTTGAAGGCAAACATGTTAGACTTTATTTTTGTACTCAACTTTGAAGATGAAAATGACAAGTATGCAACTCATAAACTAGAAATGCTACTTGATATTTTCACTAAATAGAAAACTCTAAACTATAATGAGCTATATAGCAAGATATGTAACAGTAAAGATGCTACATTACCTTACTAAGTAAACTAATGCTTTTCAATTTAGTGTTCGATAATAACAGATGCGAATTAGCACATAAAGAGTTGAGTAGTGTATTTGAACAATGGTAAAATAAACTCATTCTTTTCCTAGTAAATGGCCTCTTTTCTCTCACAATAGAAGCATCCAGAATAAGCAACTTCTCAATGCTGACCTCTGGTGGTGTTTTGAAAGACCTCACAATTGAAAATCCACAGATGAGGTTTGTGTTTCTGACCAAACTCTCTGCAAAACCTTGGTGAACGCCAAGCCAAATTTTTTTGTTCCATGTTACAATCTGCTTCATTGACAAAATCGAAAAAAATGGCCATCCTCAATGTGAGCGTCAGACTCAGTGCTCACATAACAGAACATCCTGCCCACCCCTTCTTCTTGGCGGTGGTGGCCCAGCGCAGCCAGCTGAGATTGCTTTCATTATAGGGGGGGTAGCGCAGCACATTGACGCGCTCCAGCAGCCAGCTCCTCATCATGCAGCCACGCTTGTGACTGAACGTCTCAAAGCCCCAGCGACCGTGGTAGTTGCCCATCCCACTTGCGCCTGGGCCAAATACAAAAAACCCCCCATCAGATTTCACCTTTACAGCAGGGCAGTTGTTACATTAAAGGAATGCATTCAGCCTTACCAACTCCTCCGAAGGGTAATCCAGAGAGGCTCATGTGAACTATTCCATCATTGGAACAGAAGCCTCCACTGCTGGTCCTCTCAAGCACTGTAGTTACAACCTTAACAAATATAGATATGCACTGCTTTATCGCTTACTTCACACTTTACTCGTGTTAAGGACTTTAGTTTGTTCCTTCCTTACCTGAGACTCATCAGAGAAGGCGTAGAGTGCCAGAGGCTTTTCTCGCTCGTTGGTGAAATTGATTCCTTCATCGAGAGACTTGATGGTGAGAATAGGGAGGATGGGGCCAAAAATCTCCTCCTGCATTAAAGCATCGGACTCCTTGACATCCACGACCACAGTGGGGGCTGAGACAGTCCATGAAAAAGCAAAAGAGCAAAAGCTCAGAATGCAATACCAGTTTAGCTGCCTACAGATTTTTTTAATATAAATATATACTGCACATTTTAGGAAATTCAGTAGGTCATGCAGAAACCTATGTATTCTGAAAATGCATACTACATACTGCAGCAGTAGTAAGAGTAGGATATTAGTATGATACAATGCACTGAACTATATTGTTCAAAAGTGTGGGGTCGGTAAGATTTTTAAAAATGTTTTGAAAAAAGTCTCTTATCCTTATCAAGGCTGCATTTATTTGATAAAAAATACAGATATCGTTAAAAAGTGATACTGTGAATACAATGTTTATAATTGTACAATTTAAAACAACTGTTTTCTATTTTAAAATGCAATTTAAAGACCTTTTAAGATAGATTTATTTGATCAAAAATACAGTAAAAAGCAATTATACTGTTAAATATTATTGCAATTTAAAATAACTTTTCTATTGTAATACATTTTAAAATGTAATTTATTCTGGTGATTGCAAAGCTGAATTTTCAGCAGACATTACTTATTAATTATTCAGTGTCACATGATCCTTCAGAAATCATTCTTATATGCTTAATTGGTGCTCAAGAAACATTTCTTATTATTATCCATGAAAACAGTTGTGCTGCTTAATATATTTGTGGAAACCATGATACATTTTTTTCAGGATTATTTGATGAATTGAAAGTTTAAGATAACAGCATTTATTTGAAATATAAATATTTTGTAACATTATAAATAATTATATTTTACTGATTTGTGAAAGAAGTCAGGCTTTACAGGCTTAAACAGCTTTGGCATATAGGATAACTAGTATAAAAAAGGCAAAAGAGTTTGATATTCCAGACAGAAATGTTTTGAAGCCAGCAATCCTCATTTTTTTCTTGGTCTCTCTTTCTTGCAGGTGGTGTGGTTACATCTGGACTTGCGATCTATGACACTATGCAGTACATCCTAAATCCCATCTCAACCTGGTGTGTGGGTCAGGCCGCCAGTATGGGCAGTCTGCTTCTGGCCGCAGGAACCGCAGGCATGAGGCATTCCCTGCCCAATGCCCGGATCATGATGCACCAGCCCTCCGGAGGAGCAAGGGTAAGAATGGGGGACAAAAGAAGACAAATATAGGGAACTGCTTTTACAACTTTAACGCCAATATTTGTAATTTCAGGGGCAAGCAACAGATATTGCCATACAGGCTGAGGAGATTCTCAAACTCAAAAGACAGATCAACAACATCTATTGCAAACACACAGGGCAGCCTTTGGAGACTATAGGTAATTTTTCTGTTACAAATCTTTCATTAATATTATAATACATTTGTTTTTAAATATCGGGTAATTATCTTCGTATTGTGGCTTCCGGGCATCATCAAGTTTCTGTGTTGTTGTCCTTGCTTAGAGGGCGTGATGGAGAGAGACCGGTACATGAGCCCGATGGAAGCACAGGATTTCGGGATCATCGACAAAGTCCTGGTTCATCCACCACAGGCTGGGCAGGATGAGCCAGAACTTATTCAAAAAGAGCCCACCAGCCCTGCAAGCGCCTCCACCTCCCCTCAACCTCAAGCCTCTGAGCCGGGCCAGTCTGGCAGCAGCCCTCCCTCCTCATACAAGCCTGAGCCCTGAAAGAGACACTCCCAGCAGGAGCGAGTGAACTACTGCATCACTGGTTCAGTGTCTGTTTTGGCAGATGCTTGAGGGGACAGTCACCAGCTCACACGTCATAATCTGAACCTTGTGACCTTTCTTTTGTACCTTTTATTGAGTATCACTAAGCCTAGTCCTGAGACAGTACTGGAATCTGAACTTAACAGATGCAAGTGTAAAGATACTCAGTCTAGCCCTTATATTTGTATGAAGTACAAATAAAGGTATCTTTAGCAAGAATTTGGTTCATTCTAAACAATCTAGATGGGAACACATGCTTACAGCACAGGGTTTCAAGTCTATATTATTTGGATGTGTGTTGCCATGTCACACAATATACTTTGAGTTGTAAATGTGCCCCTCATTTAATATAATCCATGTCAAAATGATTTAGAGCAAGAGATTTTATAGATGAATATTCAAATAAATCATTGGTTAAATATGGATGGTTTTCCTGTCTTTTGAAATCTGAATATTTTACCAAAGGTACACCCCAGTTCAAAACTTTTGGGTCTGTATGAATTTTTAAATAGGAAATATGTACATTTATACAGCAAGTATGCATTAAATTGATCAGAAGTGTCAGTAAAGACTTTTACATTGTTTCAAAATATGTCTGTTTCGAATAAATGCTGTTCTTTTGAGCTTTCTATTCATCAAAGAATCATGAAAAAATGTATCATGATTTCTACAATAATATAAAACAGCACAGCTGTTTTAACATTGATAATATTAAGAAATGTTTCTTGAGCAGCAAATCAGCTGGAGTAATGGAATAAATTATATTTTAAAATGTAAAACAAAAAGCAAAAAATTAAATAGAAAAAGCTAAATTGCAAAATCTTACTGTTTTACTGAGAGCATAGGATACTTCTTTAAAACATCTTACAAACCTCAAAGTATTTAACAGTACTGTATGTCAAAATAATTTCTGTAACATCATGATGTATGTGGTGTTATTTTCTAATGACGTCATGGTTGGTATGTAAACCAAATTCTCAGAAAATAAAAAACACACCAAATTGCATGTTTTTCAGCTGTTTCTTAAAACAAAAAAATGAACAAATGCAATTACAATATAAATAAATCCCCATTATGCTTTTTGAAGGCAAACATGTTAGACTTTATTTTTGTACTCAACTTTGAAGATGAAAATGACAAGTATGCAACTCATAAACTAGAAATGCTACTTGATATTTTCACTAAATAGAAAACTCTAAACTATAATGAGCTATATAGCAAGATATGTAACAGTAAAGATGCTACATTACCTTACTAAGTAAACTAATGCTTTTCAATTTAGTGTTCGATAATAACAGATGCGAATTAGCACATAAAGAGTTGAGTAGTGTATTTGAACAATGGTAAAATAAACTCATTCTTTTCCTAGTAAATGGCCTCTTTTCTCTCACAATAGAAGCATCCAGAATAAGCAACTTCTCAATGCTGACCTCTGGTGGTGTTTTGAAAGACCTCACAATTGAAAATCCACAGATGAGGTTTGTGTTTCTGACCAAACTCTCTGCAAAACCTTGGTGAACGCCAAGCCAAATTTTTTTGTTCCATGTTACAATCTGCTTCATTGACAAAATCGAAAAAAATGGCCATCCTCAATGTGAGCGTCAGACTCAGTGCTCACATAACAGAACATCCTGCCCACCCCTTCTTCTTGGCGGTGGTGGCCCAGCGCAGCCAGCTGAGATTGCTTTCATTATAGGGGGGGTAGCGCAGCACATTGACGCGCTCCAGCAGCCAGCTCCTCATCATGCAGCCACGCTTGTGACTGAACGTCTCAAAGCCCCAGCGACCGTGGTAGTTGCCCATCCCACTTGCGCCTGGGCCAAATACAAAAAACCCCCCATCAGATTTCACCTTTACAGCAGGGCAGTTGTTACATTAAAGGAATGCATTCAGCCTTACCAACTCCTCCGAAGGGTAATCCAGAGAGGCTCATGTGAACTATTCCATCATTGGAACAGAAGCCTCCACTGCTGGTCCTCTCAAGCACTGTAGTTACAACCTTAACAAATATAGATATGCACTGCTTTATCGCTTACTTCACACTTTACTCGTGTTAAGGACTTTAGTTTGTTCCTTCCTTACCTGAGACTCATCAGAGAAGGCGTAGAGTGCCAGAGGCTTTTCTCGCTCGTTGGTGAAATTGATTCCTTCATCGAGAGACTTGATGGTGAGAATAGGGAGGATGGGGCCAAAAATCTCCTCCTGCATTAAAGCATCGGACTCCTTGACATCCACGACCACAGTGGGGGCTGAGACAGTCCATGAAAAAGCAAAAGAGCAAAAGCTCAGAATGCAATACCAGTTTAGCTGCCTACAGATTTTTTTAATATAAATATATACTGCACATTTTAGGAAATTCAGTAGGTCATGCAGAAACCTATGTATTCTGAAAATGCATACTACATACTGCAGCAGTAGTAAGAGTAGGATATTAGTATGATACAATGCACTGAACTATATTGTTCAAAAGTGTGGGGTCGGTAAGATTTTTAAAAATGTTTTGAAAAAAGTCTCTTATCCTTATCAAGGCTGCATTTATTTGATAAAAAATACAGATATCGTTAAAAAGTGATACTGTGAATACAATGTTTATAATTGTACAATTTAAAACAACTGTTTTCTATTTTAAAATGCAATTTAAAGACCTTTTAAGATAGATTTATTTGATCAAAAATACAGTAAAAAGCAATTATACTGTTAAATATTATTGCAATTTAAAATAACTTTTCTATTGTAATACATTTTAAAATGTAATTTATTCTGGTGATTGCAAAGCTGAATTTTCAGCAGACATTACTTATTAATTATTCAGTGTCACATGATCCTTCAGAAATCATTCTTATATGCTTAATTGGTGCTCAAGAAACATTTCTTATTATTATCCATGAAAACAGTTGTGCTGCTTAATATATTTGTGGAAACCATGATACATTTTTTTCAGGATTATTTGATGAATTGAAAGTTTAAGATAACAGCATTTATTTGAAATATAAATATTTTGTAACATTATAAATGTCTCTACTGTTTTGATCTATTTAATGTGTCCTTGCTGAACAAATATTTATTTTAAAAAATCTTACTGACCCCAAACTTTGAGTATATACAGTATGTATATACTGAATATGTAACCTTGTTTACTAACCGATGTACTTGGTCTTTTTGTCACTCTCTCCTCCTATCACTATCTTTCCCTCAGACTTTTTTAGCAGCTCAACCAGTCGGTCCCAGTGCCTGTCTGTCACGATACGGCCCATGTCTTGGCTTTGCTGGGGCTCAGATCCGTAGAAACTCTCCAGAGCCTCTTTCATAAAAGGTAACAGCGCATCTCTCGTCTCAGCAGTGCATAAAACATAGTCTGGAGCCACACAACTCTGCCCTGCATTGAAAAACTTGGCCCACACCAGCCTCTTAGCAGCAGCTTTCATGTCTAGCCGGCCATATATCAAACAGGGGCACTTTCCGCCCAGCTCCAGAGTAACTGGGGTGAGGTGCACCGCTGCGGCCTGCAGGATGCAACGAGCCACTGACTGCGAGCCTGGAGGAGAGAAGACACGAGATGCTGAAGCAAATATAGAAAGGTGACAATTTTTCTTGAATCTGTCATTGATAACAATGCAAACTCTAACCTGTGTAGAAGATATGATCAAATCTATTCTCCAGCAATGTCTTGGTCTCTTCTGCTCCACCACAAATGACTGCATAACACTCCTACCAGACAAAACACACATGGCACAAACAAACCCATTTACAGGAGAAGGATTACAAACTTTACCATGAACACAGTAGCACCATGACACTAAGAAGTGTTAAGTTAGATCATATGGGTCTTTCCCAAGGGTTACCTGGGACAGGTACTTAGGAATGAGTTCAGCAAGAAGCTTTTCGGTTGCTCGACTTATTTCTGATGGCTTCAGAATAGCACAGTTACCTGTTAAAAAGATGTGATTGAGTTAAAAATATTGCGGATGTGCCTCCTCAGATTTTTGAGCCAATGGATTTGCAAAGGACAACATTTTTATTTTTATTTTTTTATATTTGACAATTAAGTTATATGATGATCGTAGGTACAAAATTAGTAGTTTCCCAAAGTAGATGCCTTTTGGTTAATTTTGCCATTTTGAAGCCCTTTGCAATTTGTGCAGAACCACTAGGTTTTTGTGTGTGGGTGGTTGGGGGAATCCGTCCAAAATTTTACAATATCAACAACCCTAACCAAAGGGTTTTAGCACATAATATGTATCATATAGCCATTTAAATATCAGCCGTTGTTAAAATTAAGCACTGGTAGTCAAGTTCAGTTGCAATTTTGCCATAGTACAATTTTTATTATATCAGGATTTGAACCCAACCACTATGTTTACTATAAAATGACACCACTGGACTATCTTGACGCACAGTTTTAGGAAGAAGTGCCAGAACTGTCACTGGTGCTCCCTTCAAAATAAAAACTAGGTGCATGACGCCCCTGTATATAAGGGGTTCAGAAAAAGATATAGATAGTACCTGCAGCAATTGCACCAATCAAAGGTAGCATAATTAGCTGAAGAGGATAGTTCCATGCTCCAATAATCAAAACAACACCTAATGGCTCCCTGCGTACAAAACAGTCATCCAACTTTGTTGCCTGGAATACAAATGAAATGGGGAGAGGAAACAAATGAAAGCATTTTTAGGGAGATCAATCTCACATCTGCATTGACCAGACCCTTGAAGGTTTTCTGTTGAATAATATTGTTGGAGCATTTCGTTCATATTATAGTTGCTGCATGTGTTAATGGTGCAATAAAGTTTATATAATTATATATTAGTGTGCATCTCACCAGGTTTGTGCCCACATAAGTGGGCTGCATCCAGGTTTGCAGGTTGCTGATGGTGAGGCAAAGGTCATTCACCACTATTTCAATCTCTGAAAGCACTGCCTCAAACTTGGGCTGCAGGGAAGATGAGATTAAAGCATCACTTGCGCGTTGATTTTAAAAGTACTTGTGTGTCAACCTGTGCATATTCATACCTTAGCAAGGTCTTCATGCATTGCCTCTAAAATCTGGGTTTCATTGTCTTCAAACAGAGACATCATGGCCTCCAGCTGAGTCAAACGGAAGTGGACAGGAAGGGTCACACCTGAGCGGAAAACACCCCGCAGCCTCTCCAGCACCTGTTTCTGGCCCTCCATAGCGAGATCACCTGTGTTGGACATTGCGGAGGGTTGCAGAGGAAGTCAAAATATGTGTGTACACAATATTTAGAACATGAGCTTTTCAGATAAAACACTCTTTTTTAACAGATGTCTCAGAGATCTATGTGTGCTTAGATGGTTTTTCCATGGAACAATGTATGAGGACCTCAAAACCAAATCCTCCAGTCATATTTGTATTTATTGTACTTGAAGTGCAATCATTTAAATGTGTTTCCCCCACACACAAATGCAAAGCTGTAGCATGATTACACAGCAATCACAAACGACTGTGATTAGTTCATCCTGACCAGCGCTGAGAAAAGTAACACGAAACAAACAACACCGTTGATATCCAGCGGTTGTCTGTCTGGAAAATAAATGAACGAAAGAATCGACACTGGTGTACTTTAATAGATTTCGAAGCGAAAAACAGAGTGGATAGTTAAAATAGGACCATTTTAATTTTAGGCCACTTCGCACCTCACAAATGTCAAACAACTACCAGACCACGAAGCCTCGCCCATTTAGTCTTATTCTACCCGCATTTCTGTTTTTATCTCCTGATTCTTTGGCTACAAGCTACCTCACATAACAATGTTTTTTTGTTCTATTAAAATCCCATTTCTTTTTTCTTACGAGCATCAACACAGGAAGAGAGAAGCAGAGGTTTTTGGTACATGTCACTTGACCACTGCTCGTCTCTCAGCTCTGCCTAATAGTTTACACAACGCTGTTGTTGTATTTACTTTCTGTTTATTGCCAAGCCACAACAATGCAATATAAAATGGAAACTAGAGAACAACCTTAAATAAACGACACAACACGCTTATTTATAAAACGTGCATGATAAATCAGAAGCCCTTTACAAGATCACCCAAGTGTGACAAACTTTACATATAATAATCTTATAAACGTACCTTTCTTATGAAATAACACCACTTACTGGTACAGCCCAATGTTTTTCACTGTAACACGTGAAGAGTGAAGACTAGTTCCGGGTTTTCGCGTTTCATTCAGAAAATTCAAGTTTGTCGAGTTTGGTTGGTATAACCTGCTGTTTAGTTTATTGCAACAGAAACAAGGAAAAACTGCAAACGATATATATATTTTTAAATGTATTTATTTATATGAAGACGAGACATTTAATCTAACACAGTATTTATGTAATTCTGAATAATATTTTCATATAGAGAAATATTTTCCTAAATTATATTGAATTTGCACATAATAATGCACTTATCAGGCTCTGAAGCTTCTATATTAGACTAATTTTGTTAAAGCAAGACTAGTGATGAAGATATGAGGCTCAAACACAGGGTGCTATTGAAACTGTTGCAGTCACTGGCTTGTGCATACAGGGTTTCTGCAGTTTTTTTTTTTTTTTTTAAGATTTATGAAAACTTTTTAAAGACCGTTTTAAGACCAAGTGAAGAACATTTATTGAATAAATTGAAGGGAACACAATAGGCTATGTCAGCATGTTCTCTAAATGCAAATGGAGCACACAATGAGTTGTATTAGCCACACTTTAAAGTTATATAATGTACTATAAATATATTACATAACTTTAAATATATAGATATAGCCTAATAAAAGTTACCAATCTTCTTTACTTAAAACAATTCAGTGCAAAAGTCTTAAACCAAGATACAATCAACGTGATATTTAATCAGTGTGAAATTGATAAAAAATAAAGTGAATTTATGATAAAAAAACAAAAACAAACATTTGCCATTGTGTTCATAAATGCCAACTTAATTACGAGGGATGTTTCTATGCACCCAATTGTTCTTGTTTTGAGCAGAAACTCGCTTAATTTTGTTCAGTTTTTCAAGATTTCATTTTACACTTGCAATTCAAGTAAATGTATGTCTTGATTTAATGATGTCTAGATAGTTGTATTTGAAAACAAAAATACTGGAGAAGATATTCATTTTTTGCAATGCATTCAACATTTAATGCCCTGACTTTATGAATTTAAGACTTTTTTAAGGCTTTAAATTATGGACGGTGAATTAAGATTTTTAAAGACCTTTTTTTAATATATGCAAAACCCCTGATATATGGATGTAAAATTAAGTCAAATGTATAATACTTCAAAAGGTACATTAATTTATTGTCTGCAGGAATGTGATACGAGTCCTGAAAGGAAGCGATTCATGTGATATTACTACTGGTTTCTGTGAATTTTGATCCATGTATTCTTTGAAACCATATAAATGAAACAAAGGTTATTCAGATATTAATTAAATTATTTATTGTTTCTTTGTTTTGAGGTGTACAAGCTAAATGGCTTAATGTTTGCCATTTAGTGCCTATAAGAAATGTCCTTGCATTGTAATAAAAAGCATCTGGGTATACATTTTAAAAAGTTAAGTTTTATTCATTTTATGTTAATTATTGATCTGTTTTTTTTTTTTACACAATTTATGATTTTAATGTTTTTGTTACAGATTTTAATGTATATTATTTTATGAAAATATGCACTAATTAAAATAAACCCAAAATACAACGTTGACAGGAAAAAAAGCTAATGCACAGGTGCATGGCACAGCTGTTAATGTTTTGACTAACAAAACAAGGCGGTTTAACGCTTGAAAGGTTCACTAGTTTTAAGGGTGTTTCAGTCAGCTGTAATAAGCTTTGGCTATATATTCTCTTGGGTGTAAATGGTTTCGGGACCTGCCCCAGGGAATTTTCATTTTCATCCTTCGAGTGGGCTGACATTTGTTTCTTTCTTTTTGCATTGTCATACAGCTGTATCTGTGTTCATGAAATTATATGCCTTCTCCTGCAGGTGCATTTTCACATTAAAATCACATTAAAAAAAATTTAATTTTACGATGACATTAATAAATGTTAAGTAGTTATAAATGTTGATATTTTCATACTTTAATAGGTTGAATGTTATAAGTTAATTTGATGAATGAGTAGATAATTTAAATAAAATCTAATTAAAGTTTAAATTTCTACCACAACATCCACCACATTTGGACATTTAAATACCAAATAGTTGTAGTCTTTTGAAATTATATACTTACATCTACATTATTAAGCTTATTTAAAAAAAAATAATAATTTCAATAGTAATTTCTTGTGTTATAATGAATACTTTGACAAAAAGGGAAAACTCCACAAAATGAATGACCACAAAATGAAAATTATCGGTCCTTAAATGTTGTTGTGCTAATCTGGTTTAAATAAGTATCATCCTCTTATGGAGTGGCCAAACATATATCATTTTAAACAGCTACTGTATATAAAATTATACCATGTGAAATCATGTTGTTATTATGTTCATAAATGTATATTTGGTATGTAAATGGAATTTTAGAAATGTAGGTCAATAGCAACTCCAACAGACGTCTTGATTTTAACTGTACATACTCCCAGTATTGATATAATTTAACCAATTAGCCTGTTTGAATATTTGGAAACATCCTTTTGGTCTTAAATCTGTATGACGTCACCACCCTTCATTTGACGTACATATATGTGATCAGTCCTTCTCCACTGGATCTCATATGAGTTCACTTCACTGAATCAAAGATGTCCAACAACCTGCTTTACCTTCTGTTTTTACTGGCCTTTGCAAGTGTGTGTCATAATATGAAACCTTACACCATCTCAAGCTGTAACAGTAAATATTCACTCTACCTGATGCTATGATCTTATTTCTCTTTTATTTTTCAATAGGAGTGAAAGGTCAGAATTTGGAGTCCATTTCTTCTGTAGCAGAGGTAAAGCCTGGAGAAGCTCTGAGTCTTTCCTGTAGAGGATCAGGATTTACTTTCGGAAGCTACGACATGCACTGGGTCAGACAGCAACCTGGAAAAGCACTGGTGTGGATGGGCCGTGTTTGGAGTAATGGACAAGGACAAGACTATGCTAAAAGTTTTGAGGGACGAATAGAAATTACTAGAGACAATTCAAAAACCATGGTGTATCTGAAACTGTCTGGACTCACAGAAGAGGACTCAGCTGTGTATTACTGTGCAAGGCAAGCACAGTGACACAAACCTGTGTGCAAATGATACAAAAACGGGTTTGTACAAACAAACACACTTATAGTTTAAAACTGCAGTTCTCATCTGTGTCAGTAGGTTGCAGTAGAATCCAACAAGTAAAGTCCACTACACAGTGACTCACACAATCACAGTTTTTTTTAAACACCTTCTCAACATTTAATCAGACATTCTACCAACATCACTTTACTTTTCTATGGTTCTTCAAAAATGTCATGAGATAATGTTCATTTCACAAACATTATAGTTTATGTTAGGCTTGGTCATTAGAGTGAATAAAAAACCTACATAATATAATGTAGATATAAATATTTCATACTAATCAAACATTAAAAGATGTAATCAATGCAATGAATATTAATAAGCCCTTCAAACACTGGATTCTGGTTATCCTCTGTGTAAGTGTAAAAGAGCATCTCAGTGATCTTTCATCATTTCCTAATTATGCATATTCAAAATAATCTATGATAGGCTGCAAGTATTTATATCCTGCTGAGCCGAGTGAAGCTGTAGAGTCATATAACACTCACAAGATGAATATACCCTTATTACTAATTTTGTTCAAGCTAAACTGTGAGTTATTATATATATATATATATATATATATATATATATGTATGTATGTGTGTGTGTGTGTGTGTGTGTGTGTGATTGTTTAACTTATTATTAAAAAAATCTCCTACTTTCTCTTTATAGTCCTGCAATGTCAAAAAATGGAGTCCATTGAAAGCACAACTGTGAAAAGGCCTGGAGAAACTCTGACTCTGTCCTGTAGAGGATCCGGGTTCAGCTTTGACTACTGTAGCATGCACTGGATCAGACATCAAGCTGGAAAACCACTTGTGTGGATGGGTCTGGGCTACAGTTCTGGAAGTGGACATAAGGCAGAATCCTTTAAGGGGAGGCTTGAAATCACCAGAGATGATTCGAAAAGCATGATGTATCTGAAACTGTCTGGACTGACAGAAGAGGACTCAGCTGTGTATTTCTGTGCAAGAGAATCACAGTGACACTAACGTATGTGGCAATGATACAAAAACTGGTCTAGATACACTTATAGTTTAAAACGTCTCGGTTACGTATGTAACCCTCGTTCCTTGAAGGAGGGAACGGAGACGTCACGTCGGATGACCGACGAATTGGGATCTCGCTTAGAGGAGTTCTCTGCGAACTTCCGGGTCGTGACCACCCTCGTGCAAGTCCCTCAGTGCCTTGGCCTGGTGCACTTGCAATCACGCCGTAGCGTGTAAGGCGGAGGCAGCTTCTCCACAGGTCGTACAAGCATCACTGGCCAGTCGAGTACCTACAGACCCGGGAGGCGGTTGGAGGCGGTATTAGGACACAACTGCATCGCAACCGACTTTAGTAAAAAGGTGCCGTCCACGACCTATTGAGCTCCTTATGCACCTCCGGGAAGAAAGGCACGTGCTTGACTGTAGTTTTTCACCACTGTAGAAGGTCAGGAGCAGAACGATAGAACCGCTCGGCTCCGAAGCGAAAAGCTGAATATGCGCTGCATCTGCTGCCTACTTATACTCACGCTGTGATCAGGAGCAGCTGGATGCAATAATCGCATGCCAATGTGCATTGGCTCGTTTAGTTTACACTCGAAGTAGATTGGTCCCTCTAAGCGAGATCCCAATTCGTCGGTCATCCGACGTGACGTCGAGAGTGACCGACTGAAAGGGAACTGCAGTTCTCTTCTGTGTCAGTAGGTTGCAGTGGAACACAAGAAGTCGTCCACTACACAGTGACTCACAGTCACAGAATACTTTCTTTTAAACTTCTGAAAACTTAATGAGACATCAAGATGCATTTGATGCATTTAATCAAGATGCGTTTATATGCTTCATTTTCACTTCACAAACACTCTAATTCAAAGTGTACTATAGTTTTACTCCTTTAAATGCATGAAAACTATATAAGCTTTATTTATGTGTGTACATACAGTATAATGCACACATAAGGTCCTTTTTTCCAGGATGTGCTGCTGATCTGAAGCCTGTGCTGGTTCAGCACAAAAGTAAATTCATACTGTAGCATAGCTTCAAAGAGCTGTAACTATATAATAATCTGTGTGTGAAAGGGTAAATGTCAGTATACTTCTCGTGAACAAACATCCAATGAAAATACAAAGATGTACAGCTGAATGCAATGTTTAATAATAAGCAGTAAACAATAACAAGAAAAGAATACATTTTATGCAAAACTAATGAAGACGAATGTAGATTGCATCATATAGCCAGAGCTACAAGTTTTGCTGTTGATGTTTCATTGTAATGGCTGGATCTGAAAATTTAAATGACCTAACATCTATGGTTATAATAACCAGGTCCATTCTTAGCAATTGCAGTGACAACAGAAACAACAATTATGGTGATGATGGTTGTAATGATGGCACAAATATTGGCAGCCAGAGCACAGCGGCTGAATTTCTTTGCTCCTTTGACATCTCTCCTATACTTCCTATTCATTGCCTGTGAAAATAAAAACACAAAATAATTTTTTCCACAACATCTAATTGCCATTTGATCATAATATATGGCAAATATATGTCTCTCTGAGTCAAAAAGTCAGTTTTGACCTGAGCCACTGCTTACAATGTGTTAGTAATTTCAGCAAAATTCCTTACCTTCAAGGAGCATATCAATGCAGCCGTACCCAGAAACAGGCAGTTGCAGAAGGTGATGGCGAACACAGAACAGCGTAAGTAGTCTTTGACTTTTACTTGGACTTTGCGAGGACCTGGGAGGTTTTGCTGCATTTGGCGGTTGTACTGGATTCGGTGTTTTGGATTTCCAGCTTTTAGACGAGATGGTCTTTTAGTCTCAGATTCTTCATCTTCTGTGCCCTCCCCATTATCATCCTCCATCTCTAATTCATAATCCATTTCCATCTCCACATCACAAAAGTCCCCTTCTGGAACTTCAATTTCTGGAATTTCAAATTCTGGAATTTCAATTTGAAAATCTTCCATTGTCCAACTTTAATGAATAGAAATATTCCTCAGGTTTAGTGAAAGGTAGATGGTACCACATATGGCTCATACAATCTGATAAACACTTCCTGTGTATTTTTACACATGACTTATATAAAGCCCAAAGAGCAGGAAACCTACATTAGGGCCAATAAGCAGACAAGCCACAGCCGTGGTCTACAGTGAAACCTGTGATGTGTTTTATAACAAAACTCAAATCATGTTTGAAGATTTGGAATAAAAGTTTTGGGTATATTTTCATAGTTTTCAGTCATTACACGTCTGCTATCTGTACTTATAAACATGCAATCATCTTTACTAATACTGAATTATCATAATAAAGAAAGTAATACAGGGTTGAAACATGAACAAAATAATACATTGTTAAAATGTCTCAATATTTTTGTTTATTCAGGTCAGTGATATCCACTGTTGTTTCGGATCTACTGACTTTTATTATATGGACAGAAACATCTGAAAAATACATCCATATGTACATACATACAGGTTTATGAGGATGTGAGCGTGAGTAAATAATGACAGGATTTTGATGTTTACAGTTCACTATCCCTTTAATGGCTCATACAGTTGTTATACAACACCTCTTTAACTTATCACTCTTTAACTTATAAAATTGCTACTGCCATTATTACGTGTAAAATGTTTTCTGGCCATTAAAATCACCTTTTCTGAGTTGCATTCACTGGACATAACAGGCTGCTCTACAATGTGTGTGTTAGACGGGTGTATGATAGAAGTGACATACTGAAAAGCAGATTTAAAATGTCCATTGTCTCTTCCAGAAACACAGACACATTTAGACCTGACAATAATTTGTAATATTTATTTTTCAAAGCCCAAGAGTCTATAAACTGTGAATATACATCATATTTATTTACAAAACTGAAATATAGCACTGTCAACCCTTCATTAGACCCTTACTGACATTAAATCAGCATTATGGAAAAGTATGTCATGCTCCTATAATGTGGTAAAACATTGTGTGCTTGTTTTTATACTTGTCCTACATAAAGACAAAAAAGGCAAAATATGTAAACCTCATACATAACCTCACATCTGTGGTGTATGTATAATTTCTAGATAAGCATATTATAGTGGTAATAGCAGGAAATTATAGGCAGAACTCAAATTAGCTCTCAAACAACATGTAGCCTTTGTCTGTGCAGTGCAGTTTTCTTTATGAAATATGCTGCAGTTGTTTGCAGGGATGAATATAAATGCATGAAGCAAAAGATCTTGTAATGGCTGGATCTGAAAATTTAAATGACCTAACATCTATGGTTATAATAACCAGGTCCATTCTTAGCAATTGCAGTGACAACAGAAACAACAATTATGGTGATGATGGTTGTAATGATGGCACAAATATTGGCAGCCAGAGCACAGCGGCTGAATTTCTTTGCTCCTTTGACATCTCTCCTATACTTCCTATTCATTGCCTGTGAAAATAAAAACACAAAATAATTTTTTCCACAACATCTAATTGCCATTTGATCATAATATATGGCAAATATATGTCTCTCTGAGTCAAAAAGTCAGTTTTGACCTGAGCCACTGCTTACAATGTGTTAGTAATTTCAGCAAAATTCCTTACCTTCAAGGAGCATATCAATGCAGCCGTACCCAGAAACAGGCAGTTGCAGAAGGTGATGGCGAACACAGAACAGCGTAAGTAGTCTTTGACTTTTACTTGGACTTTGCGAGGACCTGGGAGGTTTTGCTGCATTTGGCGGTTGTACTGGATTCGGTGTTTTGGATTTCCAGCTTTTAGACGAGATGGTCTTTTAGTCTCAGATTCTTCATCTTCTGTGCCCTCCCCATTATCATCCTCCATCTCTAATTCATAATCCATTTCCATCTCCACATCACAAAAGTCCCCTTCTGGAACTTCAATTTCTGGAATTTCAAATTCTGGAATTTCAATTTGAAAATCTTCCATTGTCCAACTTTAATGAATAGAAATATTCCTCAGGTTTAGTGAAAGGTAGATGGTACCACATATGGCTCATACAAT